GACCGCCTTTTTCCTGTCGCGTGGCATTAAGCGGAACCATTCTCAATCCGTTCTCTCTTTTCCGCTTTTCGCAGACTTTTGCTGTTGGACCGCGATCGTCAGAACGGGGTGGTGCGTGGAAATTCGCCACCGCCCACATATCGATCTCATGCGGGCAGCCTGCTGAGGTAAGTACTTCCGCTTCCGCGTTACGTTTCATGCCCTTGCTCGCTGTCCCCTGCCTCTGCCACATCCCCATTGCTATTGCCAGCCATTTCTCCTTCCATTCGTGAGTTATTTGCAAAGTTTGGCGCCTGCCAAACCACAAAATGTTTTCCAGGCCAAAGAAAGGAGAAACGAGGAAGAGCAGGGTTGCCAGGGGATCTGTGTGATGTGGGTCCCAGGACAAGATACGGGGGTGGCTCTGCTGCTGTTGCCGCAGCATCAGCAAAAGCGCTTGGCATCGACGGCCGCGGTTTGGCTTTGGCTTTGTGCGGTTTTCGAGGGTGTCAACATTGACACATCGCTTTTCCAGGGGCTCCTCCTTCAGTGGAGTGAGAGTGCTGGCGCTCGCGGGTGGCGGCGGTAGCAGGATGAAAAGTTTTTGTTTTTTTCTGCTGCGTAAAACGGTTGACTTGAATCGGCGGCTTGTCTGATGATGGAAGCAAACATTCGGCAATTGATTTGGAAACTAATTGAACAAATAAGACCTCCAACCGATGAGAATCCACAAACACTCGAAACAGAAGACATCCTTTCTCCACCATCCCCAGCTCCCAGGAAAGCAGAAGCCATTTGGGGGAGCCAATTGAAAGGACGAAGGACTGGCATGGACTGGGGGGTGGATAATTGTCACCTGTAACGCATAATGACGGCGTCTAATGAGAGAATTGTACTTTTTATGGCCTGCAAATTGTGGCCACACACAAAACGGAAGGAGCAGATTTCGAAGCTTAATTTTGTTAGAATTTCTTATGCAAATAATCGTTGAAAGAAGTCTGCAAAGCAATTGCCAAATTTAAACATATTCATGACAAATTAATTTAGAGAGCGGTGAGAGAGTGTAGTGGATAGTGGATAGAGGAGTGTGTGTAGCACTTGAATATTTATAGTGTGTTATGTGCGTAATGCAAATGGAAAGTCAACAAAGCAACAACTACATCTTTTGGGGAGTTTTCCCGCAATGCCACAGGAAGGAAGCGGATGTGGAAGTGGAGGAGGAGGCAGGAGCAGGCACAGGAAGTATGTCAAAAAGCAAAACTTATGCAAAGTGTGTGGCAAGAAATCACAGCATACTTTTAGGCGGCCCCCCAAGTGCGTGTTCGTCCATCCGTCTGGGTATCTGTCAGCCTCTCTCTATCTCCGGCTGGTTGCGTATTCAAATGATGTTGCTCAGCAGAAAGAATTTCCGGGTAAATTTTGCAAAATATTTACACACACGCGCTCACATTTGAAGAGCTTCTTCTAGCCTCTTCTGCATAACAAGCAGCCAGCCAGGAGATGGCCCAGGGATCAGGACCAGAAGCTCAGTGCAGAATAGTACAGAAATTGGAGCTAGGCTGTTGGCCAAGTCAATTAAACAAACAAAGAGGCAGGCGGGCCGAAAGTGCTGCGAAAATTGCCTGTTATTCACAGCACATCACAGCAGGGACTTGAATAGACTGGGACCAGGACTTGGACCAGTAGCCACGAATATTGTGGCACAGTAGAATAATGGAGTAGATAGATAGATAGACAGAGGACCCACACACAGTACCGTACCACAGTTCCCATGCAAATGACTTATTTTCCTGTTTCCTTTATTTCTTGCTCCTTGCGTTGCTCCTTTGTCGGAACAATTAAATGCCATTTTACATACTTCAAATTGAGTCTCATACAATTTGTGCAAGTTTTTGGAATTTTTGAGATATTCCAAAGTCAAAAGTCACCGGCCCACCTATAGCTATATCTGTATATAGTCCGTACAGGTCTATAAGCCAGCTTTAGTCGGATGCCGTGATGGGTGGGGAGGGGGGCCATTATGTGCAGATGAGCGTATGAGTGTTGACTTTTGTACCCTGGCGACTGAAGTGTGAAGTGTCTGCTGTGATTTGGGTCTGCCAGACAGACAGACAGACACCCAATGCCCACTTGTACTCGGGTATGCCACGTGGCACATGGCAACAATTGCCACAGCGGCCTTTTGTTATTTAAATTGACAAAGATGATAAAATATACTACATATATAGTATGGGAAGAGTATTTTGAGATTGTGAGATAAGATAGAGACTGATATTTGAATAGGTTTCTTCCTTTGCCGTCCTGTGCAGTCAGAGATAGACAGAGCACAGTGCTTAGTCTCTGGTCATGGTGTTCTTCCATGCATGCAAATTTTTGCATTTGGTTAACATATTTGACATCTTCTTATGCAAAAGGGGCAAACAATACCGAATTGACTTTGGCTCATACTGGCTCATGCTGTGTAAATAATTTATGCATTTGATTCACTTACTTCCAGGGCCCCACTGACCACACTACGTTCCGGCATGGGTGGAGGAGGCGCTGGTGGCACCATCAGCAGCAGCATGGGCGGATCCGAGTACAGTCTTCCGCCTAGCTACCGGTCGCGCAACGCTACACCCGCCAGCTTTGTGGGCGGCGAGCGGAACATTGAGACGGCACCGTCGGGTAGGCTGCTGGCCAACGAAGACCTCCATCTGCCGGAGCCGTCGCTGGCCGAGCAACTGACGAACTACACGACACTGCAGTCGAACACGTTACTCACGTCGGCTATTGTGGAAATAGAGCGGAATGGCACACCGACATCCACAATCACAACGGCGACATCCACATCGACAGCAACGAAGGGCAAGGATCTGGTGACCATTGTGACCATATCGCAGGCAGACAGCGGCAGCCCCCACCTGCACTCCCAAAGGAACTCGGCTGGAAAGACGACGCACAGCCAGACCCAGACCCAATCCCAATCACCTGGCCAGGCCAGTGCACTCGATCAGATCGATATATTGGCGCATCTGTAACCGAACGAATCGGTCTTCGGTGCCCCGAGGGAATTAGTTGATTAGTTAGTTTTGTTCGATTCGTTCGTTCACGCGTTCGTTCACTCGTGTTAACCCAAAGGTATTTATTTGTACGGAACTAAAGCTCTGCTCCTAAATGATTAATTTAATTCGTACTTGCTAATCTGTAACTGTAACTGTAATCCGTATTCTGTAATTGTAATTGTAACTGTACTCTGTAAGCGGCATTTAGCTGATAAGATGTTTGTTGTACTTGAATGTGTTGAATTTATTTTTGTAAGCATAAGGAAATGCGCAGAGTAGGTATTACGAATTCTAGATACATGCAATTATACATACACATAAACCCATTGAAAGTATTAACATACGTATTCAAAAATGAAAAACGAAAGAAAATGTTAAAATAAAAAACTTAAAAGATACAAATATGTAGAAGAGACTTCGGTTAGGACCGAAGCTAGCGTACGCTTCACAGGGGATAAGAGGATAATACCAGATATACCCAGTTCTCCGATTGATATTTATTATGATATGTACCCCCTACATACACTGTGAAGTGTACCAATCCATGGCGAACTCAGCCCACTATCGAACTGTAAATACGAAATTTCGCGTGCATTTCTAGCATGTGTCAGCCGTAGGCCCCTCCCCCCATCACACCCACTTAAGTAAACTATTAAATAAAGAGATAATATATATAGGTGTACTTGTATGAGTTTGTATTTACTGGATATATGCGGCCAGTGCATATATCTGTGTAAATTCGCAACGGAACGCTACGGTGACAAAAAAAATTTGGCGCGCATTTTCGGAAAACACGAATATCCAACTGAATACTGAATACTGAACTTCGATTCGATCTGATTTCGATTTCTGAACAATTCGCGTTTCAAACAAATAGTAGGTAGAGCTACCCCATAATGATATGTTAAATTACGACTAACTTGTAGCTGCTGTGCGATTAGTGGGCTGCAATTAGTGGGTGTGTCCTGCCGGGCCCCTGTCAAACACATCCCGACACATCCTGCACGAGTACAATTCACACGCTACATAGTACACACTACACACCAAACGCAACACACACTAACTTAAAGTCCTTTCTGTAATGTGTGGGGTGAAGTAAACTAAACATGAAATAAAAGAACCCAAAAAATCGTTGAAAAATGCCACAGAAACCTCAAATTGTTTTTCTTTCTCACACTCCACAGCACAGCCATGCGTCCTTTGACCAAACACACACACATACTCCCACGGCCCGATCCTGCTTAATCTAGCGTAAATTTTGTTGGCATCGTCAGGCCTGCGAGGTCGCCGCAAGCGGCCCAAAGCGGGGTATGGCGTGTGGATGAAGGGGAACGGATGGGAGTTCCAGCGATTAACACCAAACGCAAAAATACGAAAAGCGTACCCCACTCACACCTCACCTCTTCCCGAAACACAAAAAAAAATATATAATACCAGGCTCAAATGAAAACAACAAAAATTGGTTAAGCATGAAATTGCGGTAGATTGCGTGCTTTTGGACACACAGCTGCCCCAATTGGTCCCAGAGTCGTGTGGTAAGCTCTACGTATGGGTTTGTTTATACAGACCTTAATATCCATACGTAGAGGATCGATAAATCGGCAAAAGACCTGCCTCTCGAATATCGACCTGAACAAATATCGATCACGAAAATAAAAGCAGAGCTCAGATCTGTACATTAGCAGCCGAGATATTGCCAAAGGTAAACTGCACTTAAATCGGCCGTCAAATGGTCGAAACAGAATACATTTCAGACCGCGCTACCAGGCGAGCAGAAAATTAAACTCCGCTCTCTTGAAACCCCATAGTACCATGATTTATTATGCAACCTGTAAAGTATGCAATGATTTATTTAACCAGTTGTGGTAAAAAATCAAATGTTCGCGAAGCTATATACAATATATATATGTATAATATACATTTCTGAACTCGCGACGAGTCTTACTATCAGTCTGCAGTCTCCAGCCAAACAAAACATTTTCATATTAAACGCGAAAAAGATTTCGAAATTTATTCATTTGCTGTTCATGACAATTTACACTCAAATTATGGATAATTTACAACATCAATTTTTAAATAATAAACATGCGACTTCCTGCTGTCAACCTGTTCTGACTCTGCTTCCGACTCTGTCTCGTCTGCATCTCTTATGCCAATCGAATTCGATCTTGGAAATCCCCTGCGCTTCGCAACCTGTTAGCGTTTTATTGGGTTGATCAACAGTGTTCGGCAGATAGGTATTTCGATTGGTCGCTTGAACTAAATAAATTAACGCTGGCGACAGTACATACGTATTTAGTTTAAGGTTTGGGTAAGGTAAAATTGGTTCGGTTATGATACGATGCTTGAATAAATAATAGGTCATTGTGTGTGAGTACATAGTAATTTGCTAGCTAGTTCGATTTCTTCTCGTTTTAAGTTTTTCATTCACTCAGCTTTGATTTTCTGATTGAAGATTTGATTTACTTTGATATTTCATTTGATAAGACGCGTTTGGGTCGTTGATGTTTTAAAATTAGGATAACATTTGTGCGGCACAATTCAAACAAATAAAAATAATAATAATTACGCAGAGGCGCTCCTACAATCCTTTTAAGATTGCTCTTGATTATCGTTAATTGTTGATTTGATTGATTGGTTGGTTAGTGTGCATGATCCCTGAAGTCAAACAAAATCAGCTGGTCGCCGGCTTAGCGCGCGTGATTCTTGCAGAAGGGACGTCCGCCCTTGTTGTAGAAGCTCTGGCCCTCCAGGTTCTGTTTGCAGTACTGTGGGAGATACACGAGAAATTAGTTAAGGGCTCATCGAAGCAATGTCCCCCTCAGAGAGTACTCACAGTGCAGTTAAAGCATTGGCTATGGTAGTTGTGATTGAGAGCCTCCACCCATCTGTCGCCGGCTTCGACGGGGAAGCCGCAAGCGAAGCACTTGGTAGTGAACAGCTCGTTCCAGTCGGCCTCGCAATAGGCGTTGCCGTCCTCCAGGAAGAAGGGCCTGTTACCAAAGACCTTGCCGCACTGGCCGCAGGTGAAGCACTCCGGATGAAAGTGTTTGCCAATTGCGTTCAGGCAATCGCCCTGCAAGAAAGCATTGTTGTTTAGGAGACATAATTTCAAGTGATTTTGCCTTTTGACTAACCTTGATCTTGCCCGCACACTTGCTGCAGGTGGGGGCCAGATACTTCTCGAAGCAGTACTCGCAGTAGAGATCACCCTTCTCCTCAACGAAGCCGATATCCTGCAGGGGACGGCGGCAGTTGCCGTTCACACAAATGAAGTGATCTGGGCACCAGATGCGTCCCAGCGCCGTAATGAAGGGTCCTCTGCAAAGACGTTTCTCGTGTTAGTTTTGAATTAATGTATGCAGAAAGATATCCAACAAACTAGAGCAAGGAGCAAGCGGGGACAGGGATACTTACGATGTGATCTCCTTATTGCACTGACAGCAGATGGGCCGCTTACCATCCTTGAGCAACTGACTTACGGCTTTCTCGTTCTCCTCGGACATGGTGTTCTGTCCCTCGCTGTGTGGTCCCAAGGCCTTCACGCTTACACTGAAGCTGGGAGCAGCACTTTCCTGATTATGCTGCTGAATGCTGCTGTTTGTGGCAGTGGCAGTCGGAGTGACATTGGCAGTGGCAGTGGCAGTGGGTATGGTGACTGAACTGACGGCATTCACTGTATTGGAGCCCTGCTTTGGCTCGATGTATGATCTACGATCGGCTGCATGGGTGGCACCAGTGCGCCTTAAATTGTTTCTGAATGCCACTGGCTCGGGCGTCTGTTGTGGCGTCACCTTGCCATCATCACAAATATCGAGGATCCGGCTCATGGGATGCTGCGCAGGCAGCTCCATCTGCAGCTGCTGCTCGATACGCGGCACCTGTGGCTGGGCTTTCTGTGTGCCCATTTCTGCGATCGGCTCCTTCTGCGAATGCAGAGCCACCACGGACTGCAGCGCCACCGGCTGAGTGGGATCGATGTTCTTGAAGTCGTCGAGATCGAGGCGCTTGCGCACAATCATCGGACTCTTAGACAGGTTTGTGCTGCTATTGCTGCGCAGGCTCAGGCTGCTACCGGCGTGCGAGAGGGGAGCACTCGATCCGTTGGATCCACTGCCGGCCAGACGCGCCTCCAGCATGCTGGAGATGATCTTGCCCGCCTCCTGCATGAAGGCATTGGTCTTGTCGCCCATGTCGATCTTGCCAATGGACTCGGCCAGCATGGCAGTGGCATCCGCATCGACATCCATCGGCTGCTCGCCTTGGCTGGCCGGTAAGTCAGTTGCCTGCTGGATGGGTCGGGGCAGTGTGGCATGGTGGGGGTTTGCATGCGAATTAGTTTGCTTGACGGCGGCTGCAACGAACGGAGACAGAACACAGGGCGAGCGCGTTAAGTCACAGGCATGCAAATTAGTTGGCGAAACACTTAAATCTTAGTTAATAAAAACAAAAACAAAGGGCATCAGAGAACCCGCCTGACATCAGCTGATCACTAGGAAGCTGATCCTCGGAGGGCTCTATCTGATACTTAGATATAACAGCGGGTTAGAATCACTCTTAAAGAACATGGAGAACATCAACAGAACAGAGAACACAACGAGGTGGGGATGCTGCTCTTCACCTGATCTGCACGTTGCAGCTATTGCACAGAGGGATGCGCACTCCCGGTGCGGCGGCCTGGTTGAGGATTCCGCGTCCGCGCTTGGGTGCCGATGTGGCCCCGAATCCGCCTTTGCCGTTCTTGATGCCACCACCTGCGGAACCATCGACATTAGAGTTCAAGTTCAAGTCGCTCAAGTTTGGCGGAAAGGATTCTGGCGCCGATGCAGCGGCGGTGATAATTGACTTGGGTGCTGCTGTAGCTTGAGCTGGAGCTGGCGCTTGAGCTGTGATGGAAGCGATGGATAGCCGAGAGGCCAGATTAGGTTTGCTGTTATTGCCGTTTCCAGGGACGTTGCTCCTGAAGGCCGAGCAGGCCTGGTTATTAGTCGTGGTAGTAATAGCAGAAGCTTTGGTTAGACTGGCGGATTGCGCTGATCTGGAGGCGGATGCTGATACAGATGATGATGCTATTGCGGATGCTGATGATAGCGATGAGGAGGTGGCTTTCGTGCTGCTCGAGAAGGCGCTCTGAGTGCTCTGCTGCTGCTGCTGTAGCACCGAAGACGAAGAGTATGCGGACCTCTGCTGTTGCGACTGCTGCTGCTGCATTTGCTGCTGCGTTAGGAACCCCGGCGGGGGAGCCAACTTTTTGGCCAATGACGCATTGGCTCCATAACCGGGCACAATGGACTCTACCGATGCCGGCTTCAGCGGGAACTTCGAGTCGAAGGTGGGCGATCGCAGCTGCGGAAAGTTGCTCTCTCCCATGGCGGAGGCTCGGGCACTGATGGCCTGCGACTGGCTGGTCAGGCTAGTGATCTCCTGCTCCAGGCCTGACAGGCGTCGTGCCTGATTGGCCACAAATCCAGTCTTTCCATAGGAGGAGCGACGGTCCGTGGACTCAGACTGGGACTGAGACTGGGCCTGGGACACCGATTGGGACTGCGATCCGGTGCGGATTTCGATTGTCTTGGCACTCTGGGTGCGCTCAAACTCTTCCGTGACCTTGCGACGGCGCTCGATCTGGGTGTTGCCCACCTGGGTCCTCGTCTGGCTTTGGCTCTGTGCTTGGTGCTGCTGTTGCAACTGCGAGGACTGCTCCCGCTGCTGTACCGTCAGATTTCCGATTTGGCGTTCTGTGAGCGTGTCCGGCTGCTGCGAGAAGCTTTGGCTGCCGGACTGGGTGCTCTGCTCGGAGTGGGCCAGCAGCTGGCCCTGGTAGCTCTGGCCCGTTGTAATGGAGCCGGCCTGGAGGCGCGGCGGAGTGGCCCCGACGGAGAGTAGATTCGAGTCCGGCTCCTTCATGCGTGGCGCTCTTATGGCGGAGAGCGGATTTGGCGGCGGTCCTGGAGCTGGCGAGCGACAGCGGTCGAAGCAGGGGGAGAGGGCCCTCTGGTCGTAGGCCCGAGCGTGGGTAGCCGAGCACTCTTCGAAGCATAGCTTCTCGGGAGTCTGGTAGAAGGGTATTATGGGCGCCGGCTTGTTGATCATCGAGGGCGTGAAGGGCCGCGTGGGCGTCTGCGCCTGGTCGGGACGGTCGAACTCATCTAGCGATTGGAAAGCCATCGTTACTGGACCCGAGCGATCCTCGATTATGATGGGCACCGACGGCTGCGGCATTGTCTGTCCCCTGGGAGCGGTCTGAGCCACAGCCGTTGGCGCTGATCTTGTTCCCGGTCCGGATCCCGAGACCTGGGCTATGGGATAATGTACAGTGGAATCGATCTGGCACTGGGCACTGGGGATCGCCTTAGGGGCATCTACAAAGGCCAGCGGAACATTCTCGCGCAGCTCCTGTGGCTCCGGTGTACGGATGGGGCTCTGGGTGGGCAGCGATGTCCAGTTGCGCTGGTACTTGGGTATGGTGTCCGCCTTGTGGAGGCCGGATTGCACGGCTTTGCCCTTCAGGTGGCTAAGCGGGGATGGTGGCGGGAAGAGGATCTCCGAGTGCTCCAGCTCCTCGGCCGTCTCCTCAATCAGCTCTTGGGCCTCGTACTTGCTTAGGGCGGATGTATGTGCATAGGAGGAAGCGGTGGACATTGGTGCAGCGAGGGAGGATTTGCCGTTGTAGGAGTTGTTGTTGTTGTTGGTTGTGGACTGTTGGACTGTGGAAGAGGAGTTGCTATAGGAAGCGGAAGCGGAACAAAGCGAGGTCGTGTGAGAATCGGAGTACCCCTGGCGTGTCTGGTTCTCTGTGCGTGTCTGTTGTGCGGAGGTCTGCTGCTGCTGCTCCTGCTGATGGGAGAGCTGGGACATTGCCTGTTGGTGTTGTTGTTGAGTTCTTAGTGTCTGTTGTTGAGCCTGTTGTTGAGTTCTCTGGCTCTGTTGAATCTTCTGTTGGCTAATCTGTTGTTGTTGTTGAGTTTGATAGAGTTGCTGTTTAGATTGTTGAGTTTTTTGCATCTGCTGTTGCGACATCTGCTGGAGCTCCTGTTGGGATTGTTGTTGAGATTCTCGTTGCTGTTGCTGCAGCTGATTTATTTGATTCTGCTGGAGTTCCCGTTGATTCTGCTGGATCTGTTGGAGCTGCTGCTCAGTTTGTTGACTTTGCAGCTCCTCTTCCTTCTTGTGGTAGAAGTCGAGGCGCTTCTGGTTGCGCTGCTGCGCCTTGCAGTACTTCTGGTACTCCAGATCCGTCTCCGTCTCCCGGGAGCCGGAGCATATGGAGGCACGCGGCGTGTTGGTGGCTGTGGCATTGGTAGAGGATAACGGTTCGCGGGACGGCTGGAATGCTTGCATGGCCGCGAATGCCGACGACTTGCGTCGCTTCTCGGACTCCGTGGTGAAGTATTCCACAGAGTGCGGCGGTTCCGGCCGGATGCCGAGCTCCTCCTCGTGGTCGAGCACCTGAAATTCATGCTTCTTCAGCTCCTGCTGCTTCTGGTCCTCGTCCACTCGGTGGGTGGCATTCTCGGGATTCAGGGGGGTGTAGCCACGGTCCGGGGCCGTGCACAGAGCGTCGCACATGCTCAGGTGTTCTTTAGGGGTGGGCAGGTCAATCAGGTGGATGGGCACGTCGCGATCAAAGTGGCCCTCGAAGGGGCGATCGGGGGCGGTGGTGAGGGCGCTGACGAACGGGGACTTGGGACGGTAGTCGTCGCGCATGTACGGCTTCATGTCCATGGGCGGCGGCATGTACGGCTCGGTCTCCTCGGGCAGGGGGATGCCCTGGTCGGCGGGCGGGGCGAACCGCAGCTCGAACTCTGGTGCAGTGACCATGGCCTGGGTGAGGCGGGATCCACGGGGCGGGGATTCGCGCAGGAGTGCAGGTGGATCCGCCACAGGAGCGGAAACAGGAGCGGGAGGAGGAGGCGGTGGTGGAGGCGCTGGCGGAGCGGCTGCAGCTGCGGCTTCTTCTGCGGCAGCTGCCTCCGCTTCGAAATCGTCGCCGCAGGGCCGCGGGAAGGGGCACTCGACCAGGTGGAAGGGCACCTCGGGAGCCGTGGTCAGGACCCGGATCATGGGGTTGATCCACTCCTTGGGCATGGGATTGGGTATCTTGGAGGGTGGTATCTGGCGAACAGGCGCTATCTCGAACTTAATCTCGGGCGTGGGCTGGAAGAGCCGCTCGCTCTCGAGGATCTGAGAGCGATGCTCGATGACCAGACCCTCGCGATCCTCGCCTGCCTCCGGTATGGTCTCCAGCTCCGTGGGCAGCACCATCGGCAGCTCTTTGTACTCGGGCTCGTCGTTGAAGACGACGTGTCGCGTTGCTTGTGGCGTGGATGGGGCCGGGGCCGGGGCGGGTGTGGACACGGGACTGGGTGTCACCTCCCTTACCATGTCGATCAGCTTGTAGGTACTCAGGGGCACGGACAGCGAGTCGACGCACTCCTGGGCACTGCGCCTGCCTGAGGCGTACTCCTGCACGTCCTGCGCACTGCCGTACTCCACCTGGTAGTCGTCCATTTCGGAGCCGGACTGCTCCTGCATCTGGTAGGCCGCCGCTTGGGCCGCGTACATGCGCTGGTACTCCTCCGAAGTGGTCGTCGTAGTCGTCGAAGTGGAGGTGTAGCTATCCGAACTTGACTCCTGCTCCATTAGCCGCTGATTCGTCAGCTGAGGCGCCGAGTAGCTCTGCCACTGGGGAGCGGCCTGTGGCACTGATGCCGCTTGTGGCACTTGCTCTGGCTGCGGATCGAGGCGCGCCGTAACACTTCCGGGTGGCAGCGGCGGCACTTGCTGCACGGGATTGGCCACCACCACGTGCTGCGTCTCAGGGGGAGGTATGTAGAGGGGTGCCGCTGTGGGCGCTGCATGACTATCGTCCTGAGGCGGGGGCCAGGTGAAGCTGGAGCCGCGCTGCGATTGCCTGCTTGCGGCCAGTGCTACCTCGATGTCCATCTCGAAGCAGTCTTCCTCCTCGTACTCCGGCTGCAGGCCTTGCGGCTCCTCCACGCTTGCTCCTTCAGTGCGGACGAGGACACAGAAGCAGACAGCAGAGAGTGTTCCGTGTTTCGTGTATTGCAAAGTGGGTTGGGGGGATTTTGGTTAGTTTTGTACGGTTTGGGCAAATATAAGAGCAGAAAGAAATAAAAGACATTCGCTTGTTAGACGTTGTGAAAGCGGCGACGGCGGCGGCACCGCAGCAGCTGTGCGGTGGCAGCGAAATGCAGCGGCGGGTAGGGTAGGGTGCCAAGAGAAAAGACTAAAGCTACAACTACAGCTAAACCATGAGGCAAGCGGCAGCAAAAAAACAGCAGTAAACAGCGGTAAAGGTATTGGCAACAATGTAATCCCGGTTTTTCTACAGAGATTCAAATGGAATTAGTTTGTGGTTCAACAATCGCGCCGAGTGGTGTGCTGTGGTGTGGTGTGTGATATGGTATTGTGTGGTCTATTTGTCCTGTTCTAAGGCTATGTGGTAGCGTTAACTCAATCGAAGGACTTCATCGGAAACTTTTCCCCTTTTGAAATCGAAGAAATCGGAACAAGCGAAGCGGAAACTTTTACCCTTGTCTGCAGTTGACCATCAGCGAGACCATCCTTCCTCACCCATAAGTCCCATCTCTCTGTGCATTTTGTTGACAGACAAATAACGGTGGGGGGAGCCCGGGTATCACTCTCCCCGTATCACTCGAATGCCGTAAAAAAAGGAGGAAAATATTAAATGCCATAAAACAATAGTCGAGACTGAGTGGAAGAAGAGCATTTTATGCCCCTTGCCGAGGCAAATACTCGTACATTTTTTTATTTCTTCTTTTCGGAGCCATTTTCATGTGGCGCAACAATAAACACACACGCATGCAGAAGGAGGAGGCCGAAGTCCTGTACCTGTACCCTTTCATTGGCAAAAAAAAGGATGGGTGTTCACGAATACGTGAAAGTGGAGGAAGCAGTAAGAAGGATCGATTCCAGGGAGCTTCAGAATAAAGTATATTTCCACGAGTACCCAGGGTATCTTCTAGTCGAAACGCTGTCTATACCCTACCCTCTGTACTTGTTCATATACACACAATATATGGTGGGGGGTATGTGCTAGGCACGCATATTTACTTCCATTTTTTATGGGCCCACGTCTGCCTGCAACTCTGTTCGTATCGTTTCCCCCTGCACACGGAAAAATGGCGTCGACAGGTAGTCATTGGATTTTATTATGCATAATTTGGTATTGGCTGTAATTTTGCAGAAATTGAAAATGGCAGAAACACACAACCAGGCCCAGGACGTGGAGCAGCACGTGGAGCAGAATCCACGACGGGGACCCCAGACTGTGGGACTCAGGACAAAGAAATGGTAGCATGGCAGAGAGCACCGCCACCACACAAATAAATAAAGAAACGAATGAAACGAAACGAAATGAAATAAAATAAAATTATTGCCGCAAATATTTTGTCATATGAAAAATGTTGGCAACAGAAACAGAAAGTTTTGGCCATAATAAGAGGCCGCCAGGGCATTCATTCGCGAAACTTTTCTCCTCTCATCTGTTCTTTATATTTATTATTCTGCTATTATTTGCATTATTACTAGGACTTTCTTTCTTAGTCTTCTTTTTTCGTGCTTTCCCCGAGACCAAAGGCATGCAAAGTTGTGCAAAGATGGAAAATTCTTACGAGTAGCATAGCCCAGGGCACCATTCGATTAGGTTTATATGTATGTACTATATAGAAAGAGATAGCCAGAAACAGACGCTAGGCAGTTTGCTTGAAGGTTAAGGCTTGAAGCGTTTAAAGTATAGAGAGATTTCTTATAGAAAGTGCGATTTCTGTGGAAGTACGGGATAATACAGATATTTTTAAACTGTCGCAAATTTATTTTGAGTAAAATTCATCAATTTTCCAATTCAATTTTAAAATTTTTTTTAGTTAGAAACCGCTCAAAGTGTGTCCATTTGAAGATTACTTTCCCTTTCCTCCCCTTTGCATGCCCTTTGCTGGTGGCTCGTGGGGGGGGGAAGGATATCGGATCGGATCTTGGACTTGGCAGCAGGTGTAAACCTGGCCTAATACGATTGGTATTGGTAACCGTAACCTAAAAGAAGCAGAAACCAAAAGTTAGTCCGGGTATTATGGTTAATGATTCGCAGAGCGGTAAGCGAAACCCGCCCTCGCAGGGCAGAGCTTAGGCCGTAGCACAATAGTTTCCCCCAAACACCAACATCGAACCGGGCGTGGAGCTACGCGGGCCAGCCAAATGCAACCGATAAATCTCACGGCTGCCTCAAACTTTGACGAATGCCAGGCATGTGATGTATGGCCTCCTGGCACGCTCCAGCATGCGGCCCCACCGTAGGTGGAAGCGGGTGCTTGTTTGGATAATAATGGCTGGTAATTTATCTGCTTTCGTTTACATTTCCCGCCAGAACAGAGAGAGAGAGAAATAGATAGTGTGTGTGGAGCATGGAAAGCATGTGTGTGTGTGTGGGGCTGTGGGGCCTGCTTGCCTGTGCGTGTCGGCATTTGTGTAACGCAAACATTTGTTTGCCAGCGCACATTTTTTCCCCCTGCCATCCAACCAACCATCCCTGTGGCATCACCGGGCGGATGCCACACTCTGGTGTGGCATGAGGCAGCAAATTGGAAGTGGATTTGCTTTTAGCTGCCGGCTTTTGCCAGTTTCTTGGCAGATGGAATAACGAAGGCCACAACCCCGACCAAACCTCAAATGATTGTTGCGGTTGCGCGTGATTTTCGCTTTGATTAGGAGATTGATTCCGCAGCCGAATGAAGATTTATGGGGCCAAAGAATCAAAGCCCCGAAGGGAGCATCCAGCATAGCACTTTTTTTGTCCAGCGATAATTGTATTTTTAATTGCTTAACGAAAATGGCACTCGAAAAATTGGCTCAATAAATTGCGAGTGCCTGGAGAGAAGAGGAGAGTATTGTCGCTCCTGCTCCTCCTCCGTAAGCCCGGCAGCCATATTTGTTGTTAATTCATTTCCGTTATGACAGCCAACATCGTAGCGCCGTAATTGATAAATCAACAAGCAACCAAAGAGCGGGAACAGAGATACATATGTACATAAACAAAAAATTCCAGAAATTGTTCCGCGTCGAAACCACACAGGCACAGTGTGGCGTGCAAGTATTCACCCTGAGAATGGTTCCCATATCCATGGATTTCTGAGTAAAACATATTTTACTTGTGCTAGTGCAGATTCTTCTGCCGTTGACTGTCGCGCTGGATGGATGGCTGGCTGGCCTTTGAGTATTTGCGATGCATTTAAAGTACTGTTCGAATTGGTTATTTTCGGTTTCGGGGGAAAAACCAAAGAACCCAAGAACCGACAGCCGCAGATGCAACGTGGCAATCCAGGAACGTGGCGTCGGCGGTGGAAAAACCGAATGGCAACAAGCGAATACATTTTATATAATTTATTTCTGTATACATGAATGGGTCTTGCCGTCCCGGGTTTCATTTCACTTTACGTATACGCCACGTATCATTGGTTGTCGTTTTGGTTTTTCACCTCTTCTTCTCCTCTCTCTACGCTTTTCCCGCCCCTATCCCCTTTCTCTGTTCTGATTCGCTTTTGCATTCACAATTGCATTTCTCTTTCAGCACTCTTGTCGGGCCACACCGGAAGTGGAATCGGAAGAAGGCTGCTGCAATCGCACTGACATTGAATGTGCCGATACTGTCCCCACACCCCCTGCTCTCCATGTGCCATCCATTGTGTCGGTTTTAATTTCCCGTCTGGGCCTCATAATAATGATAAACACATTTTAAAATGTTTCCACCTATTGATTGAGTTTGTCAACAGAATGTTTCCATTAATAAGCGCTGCAGATTCCGACTGCTGAGTCCTGCTAATGCAATTCATTTGCTGTTGTTGTTGTCTGAATGAGTGAATGAATGTTCGAATGTGTATTTGTGAGTTTATTTGTGTGTGTGTGTGTGTTGGCGCTTTAAAGCAACTCAAGAAGTGAATAAAGTGCATAAAAGTGCATCTATTGATTCGGCTGCGAGGATATGAGTGAAATTTTTTGCTAAAAAATTCAACAACAGGCAGCAACACTTTTACCTCTATTGATGTTGTTGTTGTTAAAAGTGCTATAGTTGTTGTTGTTGGTGAATGATGTCTGAGACAGGGACTGACTCTGAGTATTATAATTAGATCCCATTGGGTAAGAGTTTCTATACTGCTGTTTTTGCTGCTGCAGCTGCTGTTGTTGTTGTTGGTATTGTTGTTGCTGATAGTGTTGCTGTTGTTGGGGTTTCTGTTGTTGTTGGTATGTTACATTACGACCTACATGTGTATATATATATATATATACAGCATAGATATAGATAGATATATATATATAGTTATATATGTATATATGCAGGATAGAGTGTGTAACTTAAACTATGCCAAAATTCTTTGCTGCAGCCACATTTGCCAAATAGTTTCTCATTTACGTGCACAGTATGCAGTTGTTCAGGGGTTCAGGCGTTCCGTCGAGGAATATAACCATAGAATTGTTTTAGCTCTCAGTAAATTTTGCCAAAAAGCATTTCGATAATGAGGGAGGACTGTTGTTGTTGTTTTAGTTCTGGGTTCTGGGTGGTTTTGATTGTTTGTTTTGCGCTCAATTCTGTTGTTAAGTTGGTTAAGTCATGTGCAATTTATTTCGAATAAAAAAACTCCATCATCATTATAAACAGAAATCCGGTTAATACTAAACAACAATCAATGGATCGACTCGATCTGTATGTTTGTCCGTCTGTCTCTCTGTCCTGGAGTCCGTTTGAGAGTCCGTGTCTCTGACTAACTAGCTAGCTCACAAACAAACAAAAAAGGAACTGCAACTGGAGGATATATCACGCTCATATAAACATAGTATTCGTAATCGTAATCGTATTCGTGGTGGCTTAGCGACTTAGGGACCTAAGCTTATCGACTAGACCCATTCACCCTCCGAATCGGGCGAATCAGCCTTACCTTGATGGCCCACATTGGTGCGGGGCAGGGTGGCATAGGGGTTGCCACCGGCCGCTGGGCGCGGTGTTTGCTGCTGCTGCTGCGGCGGATACGCGACCGGCGACTTGGGTGCGGCACTCGGTGGCCCGGCGGCGGCTCCGTAGGGACGAGCATAGCCCTGGTTTACCTTCGAGGAGAGAGGGCGTGGATTAATATACAGAGCATGGCATAATCATTACAACACATCAAACAACACTGGACGGAACTTGCTCGGTTAGTTATTTTCTAGTTTCTGGCGGGGATCGTAGAGTTTAGAGCTGAGCAGCAGCGCGGCGCGGCGCGAGAAGAGCGGATTGCTGAGCACCTACCTTGTAGCTGATGCCCGGCCCCTTGCCGGGTGCCTGTACACTGCGTATCACGTTTCCCGTTAGGGTAACATACTCGAAGGCCGGATCGCCGGGGACGGCCGTTGGTTGAGCATTCATTTGGCCATAGATCGATGATGGCTCATCGGACATATTGCCTGTGAAGGAGGATATTCCTGCTGCTGTTGCTTCTGATGCTTGTACAGTGGGGTTTGAGCTTGAGCTGTCAACTACTGTTGCTGCTGCTGCTGCGGCTGTTGGGAGCGCTGCTTGGGGGCTTGCAACCTGATGCGAATTAAATTTCAATTGATTAGCAAGTGTCGCCGTCAGCGCTGCCACTAGCGGCTGCTGTTCCGTTGTGGCTGCCACAGATGACGTTGCAAATGGCTTGGCTACGGTTTTGTTGTGTCTGGGTGGGGCGTGTGCTGTGGTGTTGCTGTTGTTGTTGGTGTGGTGATGCTGGTGCTGCAGCTTATTGGAATACTCTTTCAGCAATTGGTTGTACGCATTATGGCCCTTGTTCTGCGTTTTCATGTCGTTCTCATTCTGCGCCCCAACCCTGCTGTTCGCCTCTGCTCGCTCCGTTCGCTCCACACGGAAGGGCGTCTGGGCTGTCTGTGGCTGTGGAGGGGGTGGGGGTGGCGGCGAGAGCGGCATTGTATAAGTATCGGCCTGAAAACCACCACTGCCACCCACCGCACTCACGTCCAGCGACGTGGACGAGCCCGAGGTCTGGCGCGAGTGCATGGGCGAACCGTAGGCGTAGCGGTCCCGGTCCAGGTCCAGGGAGAGCGTCGAGGAGCTTTGCTGGCTATGGCCCGCCCCACTGGCGCTCCCGCTCCCGCCCACGCCGGAGGACGAGGAGCCACTCGAGATGGACGAGAGGCTGCTGTGGGTGCGTGTGTGCTGTTGCTGCTGCTTCTGCTGATGCGGCGGTTGCTGTTCTGGCTGTGGCTGGACCTGGATCTGGACTTGGACTGCTGTCGCTGGCAGAGCCTCCTGCGGCTCCTCCTCTGTCTCCGTCTCTGCCTCGTACTGCAGCAGCTGGGTGGGCGACGGCGGTGGCGGCAGTGGCAGCTCGCCGCCGGCTTCTACGACCTCAGGCTCAGGCTCTGGCTCGGGTTCGGGCTAATGTGTTAATGCGAGCACAGGCATGTTAATGGGCAGCAGGCAGGCATGGATTCAGGATTCGGCGGGATACACGGAAACAGAACTCGGGTTAATAAAGGCAGTTAATGAGAATGCAGGTGGTTGCGGAATGCGGATACGGAATGCCAGTAGAGTGGAGGGCCACGAGGACTACGGCTGACAGTCGACACTTGCCGTGTGTTTTCTGTGTATCTATGTGTGTGTGTTCTAAAAATAGCTAATAGGTCAAGGTCAATTAACTAAGCAAAGAAAACAAACCCCCCACCCCATGAAATCAGCAGTAAACCCGAAAAAGAAGCCTGAAAGAAATATCTGTATTCTTTATCCTATATAACCCATATTCGTGTGGTATTCCAATAGGTCTGGGATTATGCAACATCAACTGCTGAGTAAATTTACAGGAAATTTACTGCACACTTGGGAGTTTCGACTCCCTCTCGGTTCGATAATATTCAATATTCAATATTCGATGATCGCTGGAGATATATCGCTATATGCTATCGCTTTCCGAGTGCCCGCGGGGACACGCATGGACACGAACGTTCGCGGGGACACCCGTTCGAGGACTAGAGGCGCACTGTCGACGAACTGTTCGCGCCAAAGGTGCAAAGAAACTGCGAAATCGGGCCCAAAACCGAAACTGCAGCTGGCAGTATCTCTGGCAGTGCCTCTTGTCACGGCGACGTGACAGCTGGGTTGGTGTTTTTTTTATAGCCAGAAGAACTCTCTGCTCTGCCAAAAGACCGAAAATAAAAAATAATACCGCCTGGCATATATATTTAGCATTCAGCTTTTAGCTTTTCGATTCCGCAGCCATTGCACATTGCACATATTCGCGAAATGCGCTGGCAGAGCGAAGAGTCAGTAAGTGAAAGAAATTCACATGAAATCAAATCAAAAAAACAAATAAAACCCCACTGACTACTTGCTAAGTGTGGACCCCAATGATATTTATAAGTAATGCAATCAATCTGATTCTGATTCTGGCGATCTGTCCGCAATTGATTGGAGACTCTCTGTCCTGTCCCCCTCTGATCTTCTGTTGTCCAACAATCAGCCATAGGTCTCGATCCCTTTCGCATTCAAACGGAAACGGAAACAATAATTCCATGCAAAAATACATACACACAAACACATATAAAGACACAGATACAGGCAGAGACAAGGCAAATGAATTCAAGCGTTTGTTGCATTTTCCTTTGATCGTTTTGTGGCCAAAGAAAAGTGCGGAAGGAAAAGCCGAGGAAAACGTAACGCAAAGAAAAGCAAAGAAAATAGTAAACGAGAAGCGTTTTTTTTTTTGATAAAATTGCACGAAATATTTGTACTTCTTTGCCGGCAAACTTAGTTTTTTTTGCATTTTATTGCATTTTTTTTCTCCAACGACACCACCACCACCACCCTCCCCCTCCTACCCACCACACTATCTCTCTTTTCTTCTTCAAATGATTTTCCACATTTTAGCATATGTATGTCTGGAAGGAGATACTCGCCGCTGCTGCTGGCAAAATTTGCCAAGTTTATGCAAACATTCTCCATGGCAATATGATAAAATTGATTGAAGAACAAAAGAAGAAGAGAACAAGAGAGGGGTCGAAGCGTTGGATACCCTTCAGAGCTTCCGTTAGCTGAGCTTCTGATAGGTACACATGTGCCTCTCGAAAACGGATATAAAATCAGATGGCAGATGGAGCATCTGTCGGGTCTTTCCTTTCATTTTTCTTTCAGTTTTCATCTGGCCCAAAGCATTTGCCTTATCTGAGAACACGTGTCTGTTTCTGAGAGTGTCTGTGTGTGTCTGTGCATGTGTGTTTTGACATAATTGTTTTAGCCATGGCAAGGAACAGTTAACAGGCAACAGTCAACAGTTAACAACTAACAGATCTTCCTGGGACCTTTAACGTTACTTACCGGTGACGGGGCCGGGGTCGAGTTGCCGTTGGAGTAGCCGTTGCTGCCGTAGCCGTGCGAGCTCAAGGCCGACGAGATGGTGTTGGCCGACAGCTTGGTATTGCTGCAACGAGATGGAAAAGATATTCAAGGTTTGATTGTGGCTCCACTCGATAAATCTGCCTTAATTGCCCCGTCAGTTAATTGGCCCCAATGGCAGCCCTGCCCCTACGACATATAGTAGTACAAGCCTTTTAATTAAGTTGACTTTGAATGAAATTCGAAATTTAGCAAATAGCACGGAAAAACCCCACAATAAATTCCAAATGTCAAATGCAAATTGCATCTGTCGCCCGCCTGATGGCCAAGGAGACAGAGGGGCCGAAAATGTCGCACACCCTTTGAAAGATCATATCGAATGCACTCCCAACTATCCATACGCCACTGATGGAGGTCCAAGTGCCGAGTATGGGGCACTGGCAGACAGGCACATGTTGCCAATTCATTTATTAAAAAATTTGTGGCCCAGCCGATGACACGTCAGCAGAGCAATCAGTGTCGCCTCCATTCCCCGAAAACATAGGGCCAACGGGAGGACCAGTCCAGTCATAGGAAAGCCGACAATGGATATGCTCTATATGAGATTCCCAAGGAGATGAATCCTACCAGAGAAAGGAGGGGTAGGGATACGAATGGTTCTTCCACTTCGGTTCCATGAATATTCGTACACTCCCTTGGCATTACTCAGGAGAATTAAAATACCCTATGGGCAGGGCATTCCCAATTGGCGCTCCACCATCCATATGTATGTAAATATGTGCATGGTCGAATTTCGTCACCAGCCTGTCAGACGTGTTTTGGCATTCACCGATTCGCACTCGCTTTCGCATTTATTTATATTTCGTTTTCATATGTGCCCCCCCCGACGCTGCCTCTACCCCTGAAAGACCAGGGTTTCACCCTCACTGCCCAATTGGCCGTGCAATCGGACACAACCGACTGCAACTGCAACCGAACAGAGGCAATACCCTTTGATCACTTACGGCTTGATGGGGATGGGCACGTAGCCCTCAGTGCCGGCGGGTGGATTGTTCTGGGCAGCCTGCCTGGCGTGGATGTCGCAGTAGAGCTTATTGTTGAAGTTGTAGTAGCCCTGGTTCTTCAGGGAGGTGCCACAGGTGGCACACTTGAAGCACTCCACGTGCAGATTCTTGTCCTTGATGCGCACAAAGACGCCACTAAAGGGGAAGGGGGTAAAAAGAGACTGATTATTAAATAAATTATATGGTTGTGGGGGCGGGAGAGATGAGATTCCCTTCAAGGGATTGCAATCTTCTTTGAAAAGCCTTTCAATCGATTACAAATCAATGATTGACTGAATGACTCTGTCTCTCTTTCTGGATGGTTCTTCTTTTTGCATTCGTGTATGTGATAGACACAGCCTCTACGCTGATACCCGAATTGCCGGACAGGGCGCATCTGTCGTGAGGTAATGCGGGAAATGTGTAAAAAGCTATAATGAATTATCGAATTAAGCTCTGATGCGCAAGGGACTGGGTTTCGGGGGTACTTATATATGGGGGAGCCAATTAAATTGGCATACAAATTAATACAAATGCTGATTCCCATGCGTCGAGTGGAGCACGGGGTGGAAGTGTCTGGGGCTGGTCTGGCTGTGGGCTCAGGTGTGCGGTCGGGCTTTTGTAATGCGGAGGACTGCATCAATTTTAAAAAATTGACTTCGTTGGGCGTCCCATGAAATAAAAGCAAATTAAAATGCACAGTCTCGTATACGGGGATACCGGGACATGGGGGTGGCACACACGGACGCGGACACACAGACACAGAGGCGGGATTCAGACTCATGAATTATCATTGAACATCGAACAAATCCTTACACAATGCCCACGCCGCACAACTGACACGCCGGATGTCCGCTGGCGGACAATGGCCGCGGACGCCCCCCGTCGCTGGCCAACGCTGCGGCGGCCGCCTCCATGTCGGCCTTGTACTCGGGCCCCTGCAGGGCCGGGCAAATCGGCAGCACAATGATGCGCGGATCAGTCTGCTCCTGCTCCTGACCTGCCCCCTCCTGGGACTGGGCCTGTGGCTTGGCCACCGGCAGACTGGGCCTGTGTAGAGCAGCGGGCGCCAAAGAATTCGACTGCATAGGGATGCCAATCCGCTCATCCTGATGCTGGTGGTGCAGCGGTGTGCGTCTCTCATTGCCTCCGATAGCATGGCTCTGTGTCCAATAGAAGTTTGCCGGACTGTGGGGTTCTACATCGTCATCATGGTCATCGTTTGAATCGGTGTTGAAAATTCAATCAGTAATATAGCAAATTTTCGGGGTTTGTGTGTTGTGTGTTGTGTTTGTTGGTTAATATATATCCGCTGAGCCACGCCCGCCCCCCCTTACAGTTTACTGCTAGGAAGTCCAACCCCTGACCTCTTCCCTATGCTAGTCAGATAATTGCATGAAATTAGTTACTAATGAGGTTAACAACGCCATACTAGAGGGAGGAGGCAGTGGTACTGCCGTTAGTCAATGTTTTCACATACACAAATGTTGGTATATAAATCAATGAGAGTCAGAGATAGTTAGAGAGAGCCTAAAAATAACACTCAACAAATAAGGTAACCGAAAAGAGACACACTCCGTTTTTGTTTCTTTTCCTGCGCTCCATTTCGCTCGATCATAGGCTGCAAGTGTTTGGCATGCGCATGCGTGTAAGCTTGCGCTCGAGAGATAAGCTTCTGCAAAGAGATCGTCGTCTCTCTCTCGCATCAACGAAAGTTCTTATTGTGAGACAGACTTGTTCAGACGTGCACAACCGAATGCGCAAAACAGAAACGAAGGTACATATGTACATACATACATATGTACATATGTTTGTAAGAAGAAATGTATTCGATTTAGGTACAGTAACGGTTGAGAGTTATTTACTAGCTCAGATGATATTACGAGAAAGGAAAGAGGATAGCAGGAGCAAAAACGACTTACGTAATAAGGCGCTCGCATTCGGTGCAAATGTTCTGGCCCGTTGGGAGTCCGCCGGTGCTTGGGGGTTTTGGGGTGTTCACGGGGGCACTGACATGGCGAGTCGCATTCGATTGCTGTTGTTGAATTTGTTGTTGTTGTTGATGATATTGCTGTTGTTGCTGGTGTTGTTGTTGGTTGTATTGCTGTTGTTGATTGAATTGTTGTTGTTGGGGTTGTGCTTGATGGTGTTGTTGTTGTTGTTGGTGAACATCATGCTCGTAATTGCCAAAAGCTGTGAGAAGTGTTGTATACGCAAATTGTTGGTGTAATTGTTGTTGATTGTTCATGTTTTTGTTGGTGTATTACAACATATGAAAAAGAGTTTAAACATAAAACATGAGTTAGACGGAAAGATAGAGAGAGAGATACACAGAAAGAGTTTGTACAAGTTTCAGGGTATCTGCGGTGTATTTCATTCAATGTGTTGAAGAGATGATCTATGTATGTAGCTTAATTCCACTAAAATGAACTACGATTAAAGCTGTTCCTTTCAAGGCAAAATACTGATCCAATCCATTTACAACGCAAATCGAAATACATACACAAACAAACAGGAAATTTGAAATCTAATCCTAATGACCTTTTCCCACATCCAATGGACTTTCCTAAAATATTGATGACATATTAATAATTTTTTGTGTGTTCCTCAATGACCAAACTATTGTACTTTTAAACCTAACGAGTCTGTATCGGATGACTTTGAAATTGTTGGAGAATATACATACATACATATGTACATATGTATGTATGTATATATTTATAGAAAATGATTGGGGGGGGGGGGAACTTTTATTTGTGTGTGGACTGGACTAGAAGTGTGTCTTCAGATAGAGAAAACGAAAGTCCATTTCCTTGTGCCGGTCTGAGGGTTTGAACGACAAAAGAACAGAAAATTAAGTTACGTTGAGAAGCACACGCATTAGAGCTGTTTCAAGGTCTCTGCTGGTCGTTTTAAAAAAAGACTCAGGGAAAAAGAGAAAACCGATTAGAAAATCGCTGGCACTCGGCCCACGGCCAATGGCCACCACCACCCTCCTCTCTTGCTAGAGTATGTCGCCCAGTGTGTCGCTTACAAGCGGATTGGCGCCATCGTTCAGGATGAGGAGCAGGCGGGCCAGCTCGTAGTTGGGGCAATTACCTGGAGTGGACTGGCCGGTTTCCTCCTCGCGCAGGAACTTCAGCACCTCTGAGCGATCGCCCTGGTATTCCTTCTCGTTCTTCTTGAAGTTGACGCTGCAGGGGCGAGAAAGAGAGATGGAAAAGGTTGTGTTAGACATTAAGGAGTGCATACTTTTCGGCACTCGCGCTTAGCCCGAAAGTATGCCGCGCGAGTGAGTCGTTACGTTACGCATCCGACGCGTTGACCCGTGGAAACGAGTCGAAAGGACCAGGACAGTGTGAGAAATCCCCCAAAGAAATTAAGCGCAAAACGCGTGCGAGTCCCACGCGTGCGTTTTGGCACACCTCCCCTCTAACCCACACAAACCTCCACGGTAACTGCCACAAGAAAAAAGGCACTTGGCCTGGCTCCAGCTTCAGCTCCGTCTCCGTCTACGTCCTGCTATCATTTGCCAAATTCCACTCACCGTTAGACCAGCCTGCGGTTGTTAGTTCTACTTTTTCTGCGCTCTCCCTCTCTTTTTGTTTCTTGGCGCCACAAAAGAAACTCGCGAGCAGAGAGCGAGACAGCGAGAAAGAAATAGGAAGACGGAGGGGAAAAGCAAACCAAAGCACAGAAAAACAAGAAAATTTTAAGTAAAACTTCCTGATATTTTGCACTGTCACGGCTGTGGCCCAGACAGTTGTTTGTTGCCTTTTCCCGCCATTAACCCTTGTCGGTACGAAACAGAACGGAACGGAACGGAACGAAAAGTAGGGGAAAACTTACCCGAGCACACCGCCAGCCAATACCTCCGCCTGGGCCGAAAGTGTTTCCGCAATAGATTCATCGCTGTAAATGCCAACCGGGGTGTTGTATTGTTTATTGACAATGCTCTTCACGCCGCCATCGCCGCCACCATTGGCCTGAAATCATAGATAGGGGAAAGAAGGATAACGAACGGGGGACATATCGTATATTTGGGGGTATTTTTCAAAGTCTGTAATGTGTGAAAGGAGCAAAATGATTGAGAATAGCAAGAGTCTCAGATAATCTTTGATTGCTCTTCTAGCTGTGCTTTTTTCCAGGACTCTACAGGAGTCGGAAGGTTCTCTTCTTTGTGATTCTCGTAATTATAAGAGAGGCAAAAACCAGCCCCACCCCTTCAGCTTTTTCCCTTGCGCTTCTCAAATTGTTTTTCCCTAAAATGATTCCGCCTAAAATGATCCAAAATCAATTTCATGTCTCTTGCTGTTGTCATTTGAGGTATGGGGCTCAGAGAGGGCTGGCTATTATTATACGAATTCATAACAATAAAATATACGTAAATGTATGCATATCACACACACAAGAGAGTAAGAGATAGGCATTGGTATTACTATGCATGGCATGCCCCCAAACAGTCCGAATGGGGATGGAAGGTGGGTATCTGTTGTTGTGTGTGTGGTGAGACCTTTTGCACATTAATTCTTGCCAGGCAAATAATCCTGGCACTCATATTCATTACTCATTCTGACACTTTTCAAAACTACGCACAAACAGAGAGACAGACATCGTATAAATGCAAATGTTGTCAACTCCCTACAAAAGCAGGGGCACCGAACCCTAGTCGAATGAATAGGGAAAACCAAACCCACAGACAGACAACAAAATAAACGGAAAATGTGTCAGGAAGTTCGGTCCTCGGAGCGGGAGGGGGAACCGTGCTTGGAAGGATTCCAACTATCAACATCATTGGTCATCATCAGGACACATCACCAGCATCAGCATCAGCTGTGTGGTAGCCTGACGGCAGTGGTTGTTCCACCTAAAAGTTTCAGCACTCCCAAGTTTTGGGCTCCGTGCAGTTTATGAATTTTATAAATGATGTTCCACCACCTCGGCCAACACTCCTGCTCCCAGGAGGGGCTCCTAGGATGTGGGATGTTTGCTGTGGAAGGGGGATGTGGGATGGGCTGCCCGCAAATGTGTGCTACACTTTGTATGATTGCAAATTAGTAAACTTACAAATGGACGGGCCGAGTTGTTGTAGCCGCAGCCAATGTGCTGGCTGTCCTGTTGTTTGTGAGCCAGAGAGGTCTTCGTCACCGTCTGCAGATAGGGGGAGTTTGCCTGCGGCACGTTACCGGTGGGCGTCACCTGTGGCCGCCAAGTGGAGCCACCGCTAAAGGGTATGCAAGAGAGCCGTTCGATTAGGGGAATCTACAAATATGTATATGTATATACATGCTAAAGACTGCCACTTACCGCTGCACTGTGATGACAAAGTTATTGCCGGAGCGCACCACCGTATCCTGGGCATCCTTGTGCCGGAAATTGAAGACATCAACGTCGTTGATCTTGATGACCGCATCGCCGGGCTGAAGGCCAGCCTGTTCGGACAAGCTGCCAGCGTTAACCTGCAACAAAGCAAAACACAATTCAGAAATCGGGCCCAGTTTCTCTCTCCTGCGATTAGTTCTCCACTCCCGTTAGTTTCATCTTCAATTTGAGCCATAGCTCATAGCCAGGGGCCTGCCAGAATGAATTTATTATGCTGCAACTGCAAAAATTATGAGGCAGCGATCCGAATCCGCTCAGATGCGGATGCGGTGGCTCAGGCTTTTGGCGGATGTTTACTCTCTCGCTTTCCCGTGGAAATATCTGTATCTGTATCTGCCAGCTATAGCCGTGTATCTCTATGGCAACTAGTGCGGCAAAATTTTAGTTTATAGGCGATGCTTTTGTGTGCGTTTGGGATTCTTTTTTCCAGGGGTTTGTTTTCATCATTTATTTATTTCTATATATACTCTGTAGGTCTGTGGGGAAATTGTGCGGGAAAAATGCCATAAATTTCACACGATTAAAATCGTAAAAGTTACGTTGCGCGATTCTCCTGCGTGGGGCCGCCGTGTGGGCGGCACTGACGCATACAAAAATATCTTGGAATGAAGGCTAATTGAATTTCTTAACACTTAGACAATGACTAAACCCAAAAGGTAGCTCCATTTAGTGAAGGAAAACTTTGTTGAAAAATACCATATTATTCTTCCCTTTCCCCGGCGCCTTTAAAGCGGCTTAAACTTCCAGTCTGGGCCCCTCTGTCAGGCGCCTGTCAATGTCGCTTCATCAGCCCAACTAACCAACTAAGCACATAGATACACAGACGTGTATGTGTGTGTGTGTTTGTGTGGACTCCACACATAGATACACTCATCAAGCTAAAGTCTACAACCACAAAATACAGCCACAGAGGAGCTGCAGGGACAGACACACACCGACAGAACGCTGTTGCTGCTGCTGCTGCTGCGGCTCCTCCTGTTGCTCCTCGACTCCTCGGGCAGAGGGGGCTCAGGTGTGCCCAAAATTATACGCGCCATGCACGTATCCACTTTGGCAAATTGTCTGTTTATCAGACAACTGGCAGGCTCAGTCAGTCATACCGTCTGTCTGTCGGTGCAGGTCCAGGTCCCATCTCGACTCGACTCCAGTCCAGGGTACATTCCACAAAGCACAGGGCAGAGCGACCTATTTTTCCCGTTCCAGGGGCCCTGCCTTACCCTATTGAATGTACCTTGGGACTCATTGGATCGCTCTCCCGCTCTCTCTCTCTCTCTTCCTCCCCCTCTCTCTGGGATCTCTCTGTGGTCGGTTTATATTTACACAAAACGGGGCGACGTTCGTGCAAAAACAAATACAAACTCACACACACTCTCACTTGGCAGAGATGTATGTATGTGCAGTGTTGTGTATGCGTGTGTGTGTGGGCATAAATATTTCATTGGCGCACTCACCAAAGCGAGAGACACCTAAATTTTGTAATATTTACAAAGTTGCCAAAAATATCGATTCCCCCGAAACCCACGAACTTTCGAACCGCATCGAAGGCGAATCAAAAGCCGAATCCACGATGAGAACCGCCGACAGGTTAAGCAAAGCAAAAGCAGAAGCCAAACCCGAACCCAAAACCCAATCCCGGACTCACTCCAATGCCAAATCCAAGTCCATATCCGACGTGTGCTGTTGACATGTTCATTTTCTTGCTGGCTGCGAGGGAGACAGAGGGCAGTGGGGATGGGCTGTTGGCGGTTGGGAAAATTGAAATTGCTTGGCCAAGGTGTTGCCCAGACAACCAACTGTCCCGCTTCCCTTCCCTTCCCCTCCACTCGAAATCAGAATCCAAATCAAAAGCAAAGCGAACGTGGCCTGCAAAATACTTTTTCGTTTTGTATCGAAGGTGTTGATGGGGGCATCGGTTGGGGGGATTGTCACTGGAATATTGACATTTGGACAGTTTTATGAGGACCTGTGATCCATGTTTGTTTCCCCCTGCTCACCCCTCACGAGCTCGTATCTGTCGTACAACGTATCTGGTAGGTTGCTCGACATTTGTCAGCTTTATAGCATTTGCGGCTGGCCGACAATTGACAGAGCATTTGTTTTTGCTTTCACGAATGACTCGTATGCGGGAAGAGGGAAGGAGGATATGAGGGGTAGTTGGAATGGTATTACCTTAAAGCTCTGGCCCCACCTCGGCCGCATTATTAGTTTTGCCAGCAGTTCCACTGCGTCCCACTGCGTCCCACTGCGGGCGTTCCGAACGTTGTTTTCTATGACTTGCGGTCGCCTCCTAACCCTGAGTGGGGTACATCAGCTATGAAGGAACGTGGGAGATTATAACAATCTGCGTTTTGCAACACTTGAATGCTCCTCTTTGTTCATTTATTTGCAGAGCCTCTCTCTATATCTCTCTCTCTCTCTCTCAAGGAAGCTTTTAATGGTATAGAGCTTTTAGAGGCCTTTCTATGCGCTTCTCACAAAAGCCTGCATTAGGGTACATCTAAGGTCTATCCTCTATCTCTGCTCGTCATCTTTTGGGATCCCACTATACAAAAAAGGACATTAATGCGGCGTCCAAGAACATTACATGTGTGAGCCAGCAACCAGAACGAGAGACTATGAGGCGTAGAAGCATCAGGCAAATGATGATTTATATGGCAACTGGCCGGAGCAAAGCTATTTCCTCCAGTGAGTGCGTGTGTGGCAGTGTGGCAGAGTCAGAGGATGCCATGTTGAAGGAGTAAATGTTGTAAAAATAATTTCATTTGCATTATCATCATCAGTAGCATGTTTTTAGCATTTTGCCCTGCCTCGAAGAGGAAGGAAAACTGTTGAAATTATATGCGTTATGACAAATACTGCTTCCATGTATATATGTATGTACGAATGTATGTATGTATGTCAGATATTTGGATGTGGTATCTGTATCTGTCTGTCTGGTTGTGTGCTAGTGGCCAAGTGGCTTTCGTGGTGCTGCTGGCAGCTTGACAAAACTCTGAAGAATCGCTCGTTCTCTCTGAAGTGTTTGATTTGCCAGGCAAAAGTTGGAGAAGCTTGAAATGGGAAAGGAAAAATGGTTTCGAAATCCATAAAGCAAATTAAATTTTCGACCATCAACCCAAAAACCGAAACCCGAAACCGGAGCCAAAACTAGAGTTTGACAGTCTGAGGGCCAGAGCCAAAGACTCATAATCAAGTCAACTAAGCTCTGCTCAAATCCATTCAAGTGCATTAAAATTGAGTTTCATTCGAAAAAGGGAGAGACGAAGAAAATACACACACAACAATGGGACGCAGAAAATCAAGGAAATGCATTCTCTACTGCATGCTGCATCCTGCCACACATCTCCCAACTGTATGCAAAATATTTATGTTGATAAATCAAGTTTGCTTTTGTGGATTAGGTGTATCGCAAATAAATTGAATTTGTGGCGTAAATTAAACCCAAACAAGAAGGCAGAGGATAAAGGACACAGGACACTCGACGCAGGGCGACAGTAAGACAGACAGCCACAAGGAGTTCGTTCTGCTCTGGCCAAGTTGCTGGCCAAGTTATGAGCTTGTTTAATTGAAAATAAATCTGCCTAAAGCCTCAGTGCCGCCTCAGTGTGAAGTGTAGACGCTGGAGAGGAGAGTGTAGAGTGCCATAAAAAAGAGAAAACAGAAACTGCGGGAAAAGTCGAAAAAGTGTCGTAAGTAGAACGAAACAAGCAGAAAGCCAGATAAAATACAAAATACTGCGGAAATGCAGCGCAGATACAATGAATCTCAATGTGTATGAATATGCATGGACAGAGAGCATCACTCATACGTCTGGAACCTAGAAGCCCCGCCGTAAATCACTAGAAAACCCGACTCCAACCTACAGCACAGGCCGTTGTTGCTGCTGCTGATGAGGCTTTCTGGCACACAAACAAATTGCGCAGGTCCCACCCCCCTACAACAACACTTGACCAGCGCGAAACGGGAACATAAACAGGAACAGGGAGGAGGAGAAGGAGGAGGATGACAGGGAGGAGGAGGAGGACAGGGATCTAGAGGAGTTTTCCAACAGCTAGAACAGCATAGTGGCGCTTTCCCCAGAGAATGAATGAATGAATGAAAAAAACTCTGTGGACCCCACAGAAACCATTCCATCCTGCTTCTCGCACTTTTGTTTTAAAGTGCTTTTTTATCCGTTTGGTTTGTCGTTTTACGGGGGCAGCAACTTCAAACACATTAAAGCTCTTGAATCTCTCGCTCTCTCTCTCTCTCTCTCTCTCTCTCTCTCTTTCGCTTGTGCAACATTCAATTGGATTGGAAAAGTCACCAAATCACTTGCTAATGGCTTCGGATTTGGCTTTGGCTTTGACTGCGGCTGCTGCTGCGGCTATGGTTGCTCCTCCCCAAACAAAAAAACCATCATTATCGTCCATGACGATCCAACCGCGAAAACAGAATCGTTTTCAGGTCCAGAGATGACCAAAATAGAGTCCAGAGTCGGGGAGACAGACAAATGATATTTATTTATTGATGGAGAAATATGGGAGCCAGCAACAGCAGCTGCCAATTGCAACTGCAACATCGAGGCACCCGCCAAACTGTCGGCAACATTTATAAATTATGATTGCAATCAACGTGCAACAAAAGAGCGTACCAACAGCAGGAACAGGACCCCACCAAGTTGATAGCTGCTGTGCAGATACCCTCTCCTGTCAGAGGGTAGCAGTGTTTTTGGGGAAATGAAGCAATTTCCCGAAAGGAAGATTCCCTATCCGTTTCAAGGCAGATCTGCTCACTGAAACACACAAAAAGCCCCTGCAAAGTGTCTTTGTTGTTGTTGTTGTGCGATGTTGTGTGTGAGAGAGAAAGACAAACGGAGTCGATCTCTTTGGAGAGCTTTTTACACGACCATAAGCACACGAATGAAGCTCACGACACTCCGCGAAAAAGAGACTCAAAGAGGAGACAAAACCAAAACAAACAAAAAGCAAAAACAGAATGGAATGAAACTTTTTAGTCAGCTCTGCTGATAAGTGTACACATTCTTCGGTGTTCTGTAAATCCATTTCTCTTTTTTGAATTGCTGGAATGACTGATG